TCGATGGACTACTCCGTCATGTGACCAGAGATGTAGTGTGCCCCCATATCAATGGACTATTCCGTCATGTGACTAGAGCTGTTGTGTGCCCCCTCATCGATGGACTACTCCGTCGAGTTACCAGAGCTGTTGTGTGCCCCCTTATCGATGGACTAATCCGCCATGTGACTAGAGCTGTTGTGTGCCCCCTTATCGATGGACTAATCCGCCATGTGACTAGAGCTGTTGTGTGCCCCCTTATCGATGGACTACTCCGTCGAGTTACCAGAGCTGTTGTGTGCCCCCTTATCGATGGACTACTACGTCGAGTTACCAGAGCTGTTGTGTGCCCCCTTACCAATGGACTACTCCGTCATGTGACAAGAACTGTTGTGTACCCCCTTATCGATTGACTACTCCGTCATGTGACCAGAGCTGTTTTGTGACCCCTTATCGATGGGATACTCCGTCGAGTTACCATAGCAGTTGTGTGTCCCCTTACCAATGGACTACTCCGTCATGAGACAATAACTGTTGTGTGCCCCCTTATCGATGGCCTACTCCGTCATGTGACCAGAGCTGTTTTGTGCCCCCTTATCGATGGGATACTCCGTCGAGTTACCATAGCTGTTGTGTGTCCCCTTACCAATGGACTACTTCGTCATGTGACCAGAGCTGTTATGTGCCCCCTAACCAATGGACTACTCCGTCATGAGACAAGAACTGTTGTGTGCCCCCTTATCGATGGACTACTTCGTCATGTGACCAGAGCTGTTTTGTGCCCCCTAACCAATGGACTACTCCGTCATGTGACAAAAACTGTTGTGTGCCCCCTTATCGATGGACTACCCCGTCACGTGACCAGAGATGTAGTGTGCCCCCTTATCAATGTACTAATCCAACATGTGACTAGAGCTGTTGTGTGCCCCCTTATCGATGGACTATTCCGTCATGTGACAAGAACTGTTGTGTGCCCCCTTATCGATGGACTACTCAGTCATGTGACCAGGGCTGTTGTGTGCCCCCTTATCGATGGACTAATCCGTCATGTGACCAGAACTGTTGTTTGCCCCTTATCAATGGATCCTCCATATCATCCGTGGACATCGTCCTCACGTGACTTTGCCTGTTTTGTGCCCCCTTATCGATGGACTACTCCGTCATGTGACAAGAGCTGTTGCGTGCCCCCTATTCAATGGACTACTCCGTCATGTGACCAGAGCTGTTGTATGCTCCCTTATTGATGGATCCTCCATATCATCAGGGGATATCGTCGTCACGTGACTTTGTCTGTTGTGTGGCTCCGTCGTCTATGAAATCCAAAGTCATATGACTTCTGCTGTGTAGTTTTTATCACTTTTTGATACGTGCGTCATGTGACCCTAGCTATTGTGTTGCCTCATCATTTGTTGATATTGGCGTCAGATGGTCGTAGCTTTTGTGAAGACGTGAATTGTCAACCAAACAACCAGTCAACTGATGTTTTAAAGTCTAATCAAGGCCCATTAGCGTAATTAAATCATGTAAGGGTTTTTTTCCGAAAAAATATCTGCAAATTAATATGCGTTTTCGGCTTTTGGCAGATGATAATTGTTTTTAATTATAAATCATTAGGGTTCTGTTATAACTATTAAAACCCTAAAATTGATTTTAATTTTGATTCTTAATGTTGATTTCATGAATCATGCACTCTGTGAACGTAGCAGATCATTGTCCTATAACGTTGTATTGGTGACTAACGTTCCATTGTATACCGGTAGGCCTTGTATGACTTTTATTTTACTGAATTCACGTTTATCATATTCCCATTAATATTTTGGCATGTTCATTTCAAAAACTGAGAATACAATAATATGCAGACAATATAGACAATAAACAACAGGCGAAGTCTGACGGAATTTTCCCTTTCCACACGCTTCAAGAGTGATACTAAGGAATGCTATTTTACCCCTGTAATTTCATTCAAGGCGTTAGTGAAGACCAGAATTTATGTTTAGTCAGGAAATCGTTTGAAAGCATAAATAAATATTGAATGCAATGGGTATTATAGAGATATGGTAATGGATTTGGCGGTCCAATTTCACAACATCAGAAGCGACTTGTACGGTCAGTTTTTCCCCACGAGTTCTTTGGTAAAGGTCATCTAGCATTTTGATGATGGTCATACTTGTATTTCTCATTGAAGGTGAGGCATTTGTGACGTCATTTTGAAATTTCGTATATATTTGCCAGATAACGCCCCAGTTGGTGGTCTGTTACACTTTATAAACCCTAAGACGAGATAAATCGCTACAAACATCCGAACATCTATATTGTACATGTAATATATTGACTTTTGATCTCCAAGTATTCCTTACAGTAACATCCGGGTATTTTCCTGTAATATTGACCCTATTAGCACAAACTATGTGTGTCCGCCTCAAAATGTGTTTGTGCTAACATTTGTTTTTCTCTAAAGTTAACTCAAGTACAAGGAAACTAAAAAAACCTCAAACACAGCGTTTTGCGGTTTAAAATTTCTTCCGATGTTAAAATCATGCCAATATACACGCACTAAGCAACCTTCTACTGCGCTTGTGGTTTTACTGGTTTTTTTTAAGTATCAAAAATACTCAAATGTGGTTGTCAACGTTGCCTACCATACACACGTCTCTGAACATATCTTCTGTCGGTATCCATGGTTATGGCTGTGTGTACCCTGATAATGGTGACGTCACGCCAGCTTTTTAAGATTGCGTTGGTTTCAGGAAAAAACGCTGAATGCTTTTACAGCAGATTGTACAATAATATAAACTTTATTTTTCTTGATATGGATACGTCAACAATACCAACCTATCAGATTACATCGCAGAGAACAATGAGGGACAAAACAATATTGACCAAGTGACCAGTCAGAGACGGTCCTGTTCTAAAGACACGCCTTTCTAGTTAGTGTCACTATGACCAACATCGTTGATTTGTCTGATCAATTTTCTTGGTGATAGAGATACAATATAATATAAGTTTGAGTCTGTATGACTGGATTCCTTTTGACCCATGACGTGTCCAATGCTAATCAAATATTTCCGTTTATAAGTATATAAAGAGTATATTTATATCCAATTAACCTTTTGCTTGTTTAAGAGCTTTTTAAGCATTCGTATAAACATATATTTTTGGAATTGCTTTTATTTTACTTTTACAATGATTCGGTGTCGTAAACAAGGTTTTTTTATTTTTGGTCCGGCTCCATCAGACGCTTATCAACTTAAAACTTAATAACTAATAGTAACAAACAAAAAAGGGAGGTACATATTATGTATGATACAGAGTATTGTCAGAGTAAGGCGAACGAGTGACATAAACAAATGAGAACAAAATGACTTAAAACATCAGTCTAACATAATAACATAAAAACAAAAACAACAATCTATTGCAGTGACGTCATCACTTTATCACGTGTTCGTGTTTGTTTATGTATAAAATATTTACCTATTCTTTAAATAAGATTTTGCAAACGTTTTTGAGAAAATGTAGATTGGATTTTAACTATAAGGTACATTATTTATATTGATTTTTTTCAGCGACTGTCATTTTTTTTTAGTCATTTCCTGTCGACATTAAGATTCGCATAAAAACCACACGAATGTCAGTAGTTAAACATGTTATATAATCCCTGGCATCAGCCGTATTAATTTGTTGCGCGGCTCGTAACAAAATGATGATAATGTACAGAAAGTAAAAGGCATATCACTGCCTTCACAAAGTCAGCTTCCGCGAACAATTGTGTATCTTACGCTCTTCCGGATGTTTTATTTACACATCAGATATACGTGCTTACAGAAAAGAAATATGATTGGTCCGACACGATCTCGTAATCTAGAACTTGATATATGACGAGTGTTATCACACACAGTGAGTGGTCGAACAACTGTAACCGTCTTTTGGAGAAAACTGATTAATACTAACTAAATGTCACGTGCCCAGCTCTATATACATTTCGTATGTCAGGTAAAGATTGACAGCTGAAGTAAATCAGTTATTTGTCATCACAGAAACGTTCACCTGTTTTTAAAAATATATGAATATTTATAAGATCTTAAGATCAAGTTATCTTAATATTCTTCCTCCCGTCCGAACCTGAAGGGTGTGTGGGGTTTGTCCGCGCTTCTTCCATAACGGAAAAGAGCCCTCCTTTTTCCAAAACGGAATAAACCTCCTCTTTTATCATCATCTCCTGCATCAGCGTAATCCTCAAGGGGCAATTCCATATTTTCATCTTGGTCGTCGAAACGTTTTCCATATCGCAGGATTGACCTTCTTTTGCCGAACCGGAGCAGACTTCCGCGTTTTCCGAATCTTAGAAGACTGCCACGTTTTCCGAAGCGAAGAAGACTTCCGCGTTTTATGACCTCAGCTAAGTCTTCGTCGGAAAGGTCAGCGTAGGGGTTGTACCCTTCATAGGCTATTTCCGGGGCCATTCTCTTTTTTATCTCCGCCTGGTCTGAGTCCACTAAAAAAAAAGAAGATAACTTAATGGTATTACCAGTAATCATATTATTATACAAAACATTTGATATTGCGCCCTATCTAGCTAACATAAGTCACTCTAAAGCGCTTTACAGTACATAGATATACAATTAATACAATTAGCATAAACATTAATCAATACATTGTTTTCAGGAATTCACAGGAGCTGCCTTATCAGGCGCTTATTACAAGTCATATGCCACCTGGCTAATATCTCCCTATGTGTGTATGCATGCGTGTTTGCTGGATAAGTAATGTGTTATGTTTGTAGTGAGACCGTGCTTCCAATGACATCATTTATAGTGCCACCTCACTTGAATGCTACAGCACAGATACCGCAACACCCACCCTAGACCATTTTACAGAGTTGTGTGGGCAGGAGAAAAACACTTTCTTTGAATATCCATGCGTGCGACGACTTCGGGGATCAAACCCCGGCCACCTGCGTGAAAGGCTGGAGTGTTAACCGCTCCACCAATCCGCCCATACATGGGCCCATTTAATGGGGTATCTGCTACTTAGTGTCTTCCATGGGGGAAATAACGTTTGTTCAATTATTATATTGCTTTTGCCCAGGGGGAGATCCTGTTCGTTTAGTTGTTATATTGCTATTGCTAATTCTAAAACAAGATAAAACCTAAGGCTATGTCTTGCGGTTTTCAGTGGGAACAATTGCAACAAATTGTTCAAATACGGGGAACTTTTAAAAAGTACCTGACGTATGCAGGCGTACTTTACAGAGCAACGGGCAGTGCCGATGTGTAGCCTTATTGGTTAGGAAATTAATAGGATAGATATATTTTCTCCATAACTCAGGAATCGATAACAAGGAAGAATCTATAACAGAACAAAATAAATGATTTCACACATCCAACTCGCGATAATGAGAAAAATCTTATCTACGTGCATATCTTACACGATAACAGAGAGGAATTCCGAATGGTTCCCCTGTCTATCCCAATTATTTCTCGTCTATCAACCATTGACTGACACGTTTTCTAGACATCCGAGATTTATTGGTTTCCGACGTGCGGCTTTGAACTACAAAGGTGTAAACTTCCGTATGTTGTGCCGGAGAACCCACCAAAGAGGAGAGTTCTAAAGGGGCAGACAACCCGACGAAAAACATATGTACTTACACAATAATCAATGGTCAACAAAAGCGTCAATGCTATTTCTAAACCTTACGTAATATATATTTGTTTTTCTTATAAAAGCGATCACATCTTCGTGCAATCATTGTTTTAGATAGCTTATCGTACATTCACATATCTCAATGTAAACATTTAATTTTGATACACTGACTTTCAATTAAAGCAACTTCATGAGTGAACCAATTAAGCAAGCAGAACAATCTTTGTGAAGTCTGTTCTATTAATGTGGCTTAAACCATCATTAAATTGTTCAGAAACTGAAACAATTGATCTTTACAAACTCGACAAGTAAATAACAACTATCAGAACTCGAGGACGGTACTGATTCAACAATGTCGAAATAACGCAGTGCAATAACATCGCAAGCGTTCATAATTCATCTGGAAAAATCGAGATACCGGGACTATTCTTGACTAGTTTTCTGTCGTGAAAATTGTTTTCTGTATAGCACAAGCTGAACACGGTTTGATGTATAATATATAAATAGTTTATAATTTATTTACTTATGTTTTATGATTCTACCGATTAGGTAACTGAAGACGTATTACCATGTAGTAATACATGTAGACGTGTAAACATTGTTGTAGTTCGATATCAGTCATAAAACCTCCATTGAATCCAAAACTAAACTTAACACGTGTATGTTTATTGCCGAACGTGTCACGTTGGTCAGTTTCCGGCTCATTTCGTACTTCCCCTGTGACGCCCGCGTGGTGTAGTGTGTACGTGGCGTCTATTGGGGCGCTTGTCACCGATCGTGCAGTGTGACCACAGTCGTCATTAGTATGCATGTGGACATACACTATACGCTTTGTGTCGTGTGTGTATTGAATTTCACATTAGTGGACAGTAGTCCGATGTCAGACACTAACTCCCGTAAAACCTGTCTGCACCGAACCCAATATACATAGCGCTTCATCCTGTGTATTTACAGCACTCCACCCTGTGCAAACTGTCAACACCGAACCACTTATAACGCAGACACATGAATACTCATCAGTCTGCATTCAGATCCAATTTTAACGTTTATCAATGGAATCGGAAAAAATGTTGAAGCAGAGATACAGACCGGATATTGAGGTGGGAGAGAAGGTCGTATGGATGTCTGGGATACAGGTGAGAGACACAAATCGAAAATACTGGTGGGGCAGAAATTTCAGACACGGGTCGGCCGCAGCGTGGGCAAACAGGTCACATGGAAGTTGGGGATACAGATCGTAGACGAATGTGGGCGCATATACGGGGCGACTGGAGATCGGGGCCCGTAGTCATGAATACCGTTCTCATGCTCAAGCATGACTTTTGTGCTGAATCCTAAGTTTCTGTTCTGTCTATAAATCAATAATAGAAAATGATTTTGCCAATGATTTGGATAAAATTTGAAAAGACAAACCCCAATACTGTTTCCAAAGTTTACATTTGACTTTTTGACCATTGACATGATTTTAGTGAGTTACAAGAAAGTTGTTTTGAGCACAGAATCCATGCTTGAGCATGAGAGTTTTTTCATGAATACGGGCCCTGAGATATGCACATGTATCTCGTTCTCATATTCCCAAACATTTTCTTCAGGTTGGTAAGTGGCTTTTTCATATACAACGGAACTACCAAACTTAGTTCAAATCCATAAAATACAGCTCAGTTATTATTATTCAGATTAGAACAAGTTTAAGTGCAAAAGGACGACTCGTCTTTTCTTGATGGGCTAATCCAACGCGGACTGTCTCGGAGAATGCGCCGTGATAAAGATCGCGCTAGTCAACCGAAAGTTCTTAGCTAGGTTTTTGAAGCCTCATCATCGAAAAAACTTCTCATCTAAGCCATTCACATATATTCCTTTTTTAATTCACAAAAGGTTCACAATATATTTCAAGATTGTTACTTTTGATATATTTTGTTTCATCTGCAGATATACAGGTTTTTGTTTTTTATTGAGTTAATTTTCGAAATATGTTCCACGAAAAACTAGAGTTAATTAAAACAAAGCTAACAATGCTTGGACAGTTATATGGTCCCTGGTGTTCTACACGCAGCATCTGCTCATCAATATCAATTAAATTTCTTTAACTCCTTGTGCTTTGATAACTTTATTTCAATTGAAATTACCCTGTGTACTTTAAGTGCCAATAGCCGAGAAAAGCGCTGCCAATTTCTGCATAAATACTCTTACTTTTGTGGACGTGCAGAGACACGCTTCATGTATAACCCCAGACGACTTTGCGATTTGCGAATATTTGAATAAAAAACAAATTAGCAGACCCGCGTTTACTGACAGAATAGGCCATTCCCGTGCTTTTTATTTCGTCTTTGTGGAACATGTATTTGCTAATGATATACAAATTGTTTACAATTAAAGACATAACGTACAAATATCCAATTTGTATCAGTGCTGACTCCTCGCTACTCGTTTATTCGCCAAAGTAATAGCGTGAAGTTGGGTAATTTCATAATACTGAGCTGGACCAAGGGTTAGTCTGGCCCAATATTGGGCTGGTCTGATCTTGAATAAGTTATAAACTTCACGTCAGTCGTCAAGATGATCGTCATTTTGACATGGAACCAAGTATTGCAATGGAAGCATCAGACCCTCCACCGCGCCCCTCCTCCCCCCGACCTGTACACAGTTCTGTTTTCCACCACAGGGGCGTTCAACGGTAACGTCAATCCCAGAAAGATACGATTAATTTCGATTTTTTCTTTAATTGTTTATAAGATGAATTTTTGTGTCGTGTGGTTGAATTCGATACTGTACCGTATAATTATCGATATCTGATTGACACCGTTTCTTGTTCAAATAAACTTGAGTGAAAAATATCTATCGTTCTGTTAATTACCCAACAAGACCATATAACTATCATAAGGAAGTCCCCACGGGTCGTATCACTGTATGTTGGCACCGACATCGCCTTCTGTAACATTTAACCTCTCAAAGGCTTTAAGCGCAAAACGAAAATAAAAAAACCCAAGTCACGTAATTAAAATTTCCAACTGTAATTAATGAGTGAATGGACTACAATGAAGCACAGGCCTGCTATCGAAGAACGTGCCCCAATTACACTTAATCGGGAGTTTTCTTTTGTCTTCATTTTTAATCTGCGTACATATATTTTTATTTTCAGGGTTAATAATTACAAAAAGTGTAATTAATACTTTTTCTTCCTGAGATAATGAAATCAGAAAATATACAACGGAATATAAGACTAGGGAATTGTCTCCTTCAGGGGATTTTTTCCTTGTTTGTTTGTTGTTTAACTTCCTCACGACAGCTAAGGGCATGTACGCGCTTGTTTAAGACAGTTACCCATGTAGACAGCATGGTTCGAAGATCAAGTCTTAGCGGTTCATTAAACAAATTAAGTTCGATGCAAGATAAATTTTACTAATCGGCACTGGTAACGATGCAAAAGACAGACACCCGTCGAATAACAAGCATGTCTTCCCTGTTCTTATACACACAGTAATCGGGATTTACTAGGATTTCATTATTCGCTTTCGAGATAACTGTGTATAGTGTTGTATCGGGTGTAGTAGCACCATATGGTTTCATGGGTGAGCCTTGATGTTTGGAGACGACAATACACAACTAGTGTCAATAGTGCCACCTATCCAAAGGTGTATACTTCTGGTGATATGACAGTTATTAGAGATTCGAAAGTCAGGTACGTGTCTCCATGTGTGTAATGTATGTACTTGCTTGTGTGAAGGTGTGCTGGAGGCAGGGTATGTTGGTGTATTTGCCTTCTTGCGATAGCACGGATATGATGATGAGTTTGGAGAGCTACCTCGCTGAAATACCACGCAGAAGGCACGCAGCACATTATTTCTATTT